GACCACCCTCTGTAGATAAAAACAGCTCAGTCTAAGGTCATGAAACAAATAGATCCTCCTCAATGTTACACACTGGAGCTTTAAGCTTTAAGAGATAGGAGTAAGATAGGAGAGTTCCATTGACTAGTAAGTAAGTAAGAAAATGTACAGGAGTGTCCACAGTCAGTGTTTACATGGAAATGTTGAGAATACCTCTCTGTCCTGCTCTTCCTCCTTGCTGAATGTAAAGCACTGGTTCATCTGAAGTAAGGAACAGGAGAAGGCAAATAAAGGTAGAGTTGGAGAAGAAGAGCAAAAAAAGAGAAGCAGAAGAGACAAGAGGAGCAGGTACCTATTCTTTAATCAGTGGTTGCTGTTGGTTACATAAATAACCCTAGAACCCAAAAAAAGGTTAATTCAGAAAGTGCATCCATGCATTGTGTATTTTATGTGTGCCTTCTGATTTTTAAAACTGTTTCATTACAGCTATTTAGACTCATTTATGCCATTAAGTTCTTGTAAAGAAAACGTAATACACAGCAGGCTGAATGAAGCAGAGGAAAACTGTGGATGCTAAGGAAGGTATATAACATGTAGATTATACGGCAGAGTCTCCTGCAACCCTAAGCTCCTCATCTCTGAGTGCTCTGTAGTAAAGCAGGATTTGACTGGGCTGTAGGAGACTCTATTTGTGTTCAGATAATCTAATCCTATTGCTTTCAAGATCAACCCCGGCACAGCTAATGTCTCTCTGGCTGAGAGAGTCATGCAGCAGTGCTCACCTTGGCCTAGCAGACTGCATGACAAATAAAGCACACTCACTTTGAGACTGAGGGCTCTATTTCCATGAACCCAACTGTGCAGCCAGGCAAATGGTTCGGAGGCACCTGTGGCAAACTGCTAATACAGGGTCAGAAAATGTTTTATCATACATTATATGTGGGCGTGTTAGAGGTTGTGACAGTTACTGCCAATTACATTCACTACTTTCATCCCCTTTAAACATAAAACTCCCCCCGTCATGACACACTGACAGTTTGGGAATCTTAATGGGGACCTGCAGAGGTTTATATATGGGAGAGCTGGTACGAAAGTAACACTTTTCAGACAAACGTCTTTTTATAAGATAACATTACAGACAGATATTCATTGTCATTGTGATCAGCAATTCAGCTATGTTTTCTACCAATAGACTGACTTCAGTATAATTTGACTTTGAATAAAAGTTGTTATTTGAAAGCTTGTCAGTCAGGAAGAAAGTAACACACAGCTTGGTCAAAAGTAACACGACGGTTGAAACTGATTTTATTTGTATTTATTTTTTAAAACGCTGAAAATGCCCTTATTAGTATGTCCCCACCCCTTTTGAGATCTCAGTCAGCTGAGATGTGCTATGCTAGTCTGTGTTAAAAAGACAACCACATTTTAAAGATGGTTAAAGGGTAAAATCAGCATAGCTAGGCTATATATAGTCAAATCTGAAGTTAGCTAATGTTAGCAAAACACTAGCTAACTAGTTAGCTAATCTACATCAATTGTTAGCTAGCTAATTAGCTATCACGCTAACATTAGCTTGTAGATGTAGCCAATGAGCGCAGCTCAACGCGCAGAGTGAAAGAAACCCTAGTTGTTACNNGTAACAACTAGGGTTTCTTTCACTTCTTCTAGTGTAGAGCATTGGTCGTCCTCCTGTCCCTCTCACTCCTCATGCCTAAACCTATCTAACCAAATCAACGAATGCAATGAACACTAGCCAGTCAGATGCAGAGTAGGGCGGGTCTAAAATCTAACAATTTGCAGTGTGCACATCTAGACTCTGCACTCTTGTGTTTTCTGTATTTGGTTGTGCTTTCTGTATTTGATGTTTTCTGCATTTGGGTATGGTGGATCTTATCAGTATACATTTGGGTAACTCAGTTCAGCCAGGTGGTTTATATGACACATTTGTTCCAAGCAACACAGCCCTGTAGTGTGCACAATGTATACTAGACACTGAATGAGTCACTACAACGTGTATTCTTTTCTTTGTACGTTTTTTCGTCACTCATATGCCCATTTGCTTTTAGTGGAACACACTACTACTAAGAGTTTTGTTTTTGTGTTTTTCCGACAGACAACAACGCCTTTACTAAATTGCCAAACCATCAAAAGGGTCATCTTCTAAGCCTTTATTCTCTTGCATTTTCATTTCTAATTTGTTTGGTTATACGACCTGCCTGGCTTACAGTGTGGGTATCTTCATTGATACTTTTTTTATTCCTGTTCTTTTTTTTCCTTTTTCTAGATTTATGGTTTTAGCAGCACAAAGGAATTTGTGTATTGAAGCCCGGTTTCAATACACCAAAGGATTTATATGAAAACTGGTCCGCAAAACCGTAAAGGAATTACATGGATACAGGTCGCCAGCATCACAAATGCATTGTATGAATACCTGACAGTCCGTATTTGATTGTGTTTTCACACTTTTCAGCGTTTTCTTAATTTACTTGTGTTTTGTCTGTTTCATATATTGCAGTTGCGCTCTCAGGTCCACCGTATAAAGAAAAATATTTCTCTCAAGACAGAAGACAAACCCAAAGCTAAAAGGAGAGTGAATATTGGATTTAGATTCACCAGGGGAACACAAACATAACTCTGAAAAGGGGTAATCTGACAATTTGTGATGACATTGTGACCATGACCAAAATAATTTCCCCCTGGGATTATTAAAGTATTTCTGATTCTGATTCTGATGAAGGCATCCACAGTTTCCAAACTTCACATAGCTTCATTGACTGATCTGTCCCACGTGAACAAACCAATAGAGTGATGTAGTCAAACGACGTAGGATGTAGGTATTACTTCACCCAACTCTTCCTTGGGTGACGTATAATAATGCAATTGAGTTGTGAGGATTTGAAAAGAATCGTTTTTGATAATGTTATCTTTTGGCTTCTGTTTACAACTTCAA